ATGCCTCTTCTTGAAACGCTCTTCCCAACTTTTAGAACAAGCAAACTCTTTGTTTTTGATTTTACTCCCCATTTTACTAGCATTTTCTTGCAAAACACTGCCACTTATGGGAACGTTTTCTTGTCTTTTTTCCTTGTCAACCTTTCCAAGTCCCTTGTCAACCTTTTCATGTGCAGATAATTTTAACTTCCTACGTCTAACATTTGTTTTGTCATACGCTGATAAAATGTTTTCTCGGTTTTTCCATACTGTTGCAACAGTAGACTTTCCAAGTGCTAATTCTAAAGCTTTGCGTTTTTGTTTTTCCATTCTAAAACGATTTACATACATAACGCGGCAAAAAACAACAAGTCACTGCCTGTCTCTCGCTCTCACTAATATAAACAACTCCGCACGATTGGTGTTGCTGAGCGTGGAAGTTCGTTATAAACGGAAAGTGAATATACAACTAACCTAAAAAGTGATCGTTATACCCGGAAGTTCGTTATAAACGGGTTCGTTATAACCAGTAAAAAAATACGTTGGTCTTTATGGACGACGTTTCAATTAAAAGAAAAAAGTTCGTTTTAACGGAAAGTTCACTATAACCGGGTTCATTATAAGCGGACTTTACTGTAAATCAAATTCCGTAATTACCTTAAAGTTGGTTTAGGTAATAGAACAAAAAAGTTGCGTAATTAGAAGGCTAACCAACAAAGCATTCTAAACTGTTGATTTTCTGATTGATTTGAGAAAACCCGAAAATTTCGAATTTCGATTAAGTATATTATTTTTTGGCGTTAATAACAAATCTACAGCAAAACCAACTGCACGTTCTCACAGCAACATTAGTTTTATGATCCGACGTTTCGCCTCCAAGAAACCATCATCAACTTCACTTTTTCAAATACGGCTATGTCTGCTTAACAGCAAATTTCGGATTTCGAGTCGAAAAAGAAAGTTCTGACTTCTGTGCCAAAATATTAGATTCCCAAAAAGTTTCCTTTTCAACTCGACATTTTTTTGTATTGCTTGAATTATTTATTTCGCGATTAAAGTCAAAATGCCTTCGTGAATCAGACATTACAAAATTTGTAGAAGAACTTTAATTTCTAAATATCTTTCAATCAAGATTTAAATGTTCATTATCTCTAGTTCTACTCTAGACTAGTTCAGACAATTCGAGCAATGCAACTCTTCATTTTGCATCAATTTTTTATTATAAATTGCTACCTAAATATGATTAAATCCCAGTCTAGCAATCGGAAATGTTCTGTGAGTAAAATGTTCTTTTCGAATAAAACATTCTACAGAGTACAAGAATTAATCCACAGTGATGTTGTTTTTCAACAACACTTTTTTATAAGATAAAAAAAAAATGTGATATGATGTGATGAATATTTGCGTATTTTTAAATCTTGATACTTACCATTAGGTATAGAAAAGTACAAACTTTTGTAAAATTTTTACACGAATGCCGTTTATCAATATTTATCTCTCTATCTATCAAATTCCAAGGAAATTGTGCTCATTTGAACTTAAAATTGCATAACATTGATTTGAGATTAAAATTTCTTATTGAAAGTGGAGACTTGGAATTTACAAAGGGATTTCTGAGTTCCATGCCGAAATATCAATTTCCAAGAAGTAATTTCTTTTTCAACTCGAAATTTCCTCGAAATTTCTAGCTCTCATTTCGACACAGTTTCCCAGACAAATGTTCGTCCCTTCCATTCGAATTCCAAATTTATTTTCATTGATTCAATGATTTATCCGAATATTTCGAAATAAAAGTAAAAAATTCCTGTAAAAATTCGAAATTTCAAAATCTTGTTGCATTAATTGCAATTGCGTAAGTTTCAATTTCCTATTGAAAAGTCGAATATTGTAACTGAAAAAGGAATCGAACTTGTGGCACCAACCATCTCTGAAGACGGCCGACAAACGCGAAAAACTCATGAGTTTCAACCAATAACCGTTTTCCAAATACTTGGAAAAAACGATGCTTAACCGCATAAAATAAATTAGAATAGTTGTAAATAATTAATGCAAATTTGCTTATTGTTGTTATTGACATTATCTAACCTAACATAGTTTTATACGCAGGATGGCCGCAAATTGGGGTACGGTGCCATGCAAGGCATCCCTATGGTGGCTTCTTCGCCCGTACGTCACGATTCCCCTCTGGGCGTCCATCCTTTGGAGGTTCAAGCTTACCAGCCTCCATGGAAGGCGCTCCACGACTTTGCCATGCATTCAGACCTGGAGCAACCGCATCCGCCGGCTTTCCAACAATTAGTTAATCAAGTAAGTGAAGGATGATTTCTTATTTAACTCATTAAAAGTGTCCCTATTTCAGAAGTTATTTTGTTGATTCTTGAGATATGAGACTACGGCTACTATTGTAGATGAAAGCTTATCCGCCCCAGTATAAGTCTTTGAGAAAATTCGGACGTCGTACTGTTTTTTAGCAGAATAACAATTTGTCACATTATTTTAGGCATGGGTAATACAGTTAATTTTCAACAGTTGGCACAGTGTTGCCTAACTGGCCTGTTGCGCCAACTCACCGGTGCGGTTGCGTTGCAGTCACCCATTTGGTAAAATGTTCCTAAAAAATGTAGTGATTTTTTTTTGTTAGGTGTTGAAATTCCAGCCCCGGGCCTCGTAAAACTTTAATGCGCCCCTGAGCGTATTAAAGCGTAATTAAAATTGCGGCACAGTGAGACGTTATAAAAGTTATAACAAAAAATTCAGAAACGAAAAATACTTTGCAAGTTCAGAATTGTGTTTTCAGTAAAGAAGAGTGCGCTCTTAATGTCATCAAAATTTCGAATTTAACTCATCGCTAAGAAAATTTTGCTAAGGATTTGACAAAAATATTGCGCGGTACATTTTGCATCTCGCGTTTAGAAAAACGTTTTCTCAGAAACGAAAAATACTTTACAAGTTCAGAGTTGCACGATCAGTACCTACCTAAAGATAAGTGTCGTCGAAATTTCTTCAAACCTTCAAAAATGTATTCAAATCACATGAAATCCTGAATTTTGCGCGCATCGTAAATTTTGATTTGAAAATAAACGCTTTTACGCAACTGCGGAGTCTTCAATGAAAAATTCCAACTTCCAAAGTAAAGCCAGTAGAAACTTGAAAGATTGACAACCTGAAGACGTTTTATTCTTAATAAAAACTTGCACCTAAATGTCTGATACTCAAATTTCGTGAGATTTTTGTGATAAATTTACTAGAATTTATTCATGCACGTTGTATCACCGAATCGCACTACCAATTCTCTATGGCTCAAATGGTTATTGAACAACGTCAAAAAAGGCGGCGTCATGTTTCAGTCGATTTTGTAAATAAAAAAAAACAGGCAAAACTCAAAATTATTGACGTTTTTTAACAAAAAACATAAAACTGGAACCCATATTTGCATATTTGAAACGGTTCCTTGGAGACAACTTTCAAATAAGCTTGATGTAAAAATACAAAGCCGCTCAAAATATTCCCAAAGTATAAAAATAAGCTACGGAATAATCAATTGATATTAAATCCATTTTCCGTCGCTAAACACAATACATAAGTAATAAACAATTTCGATGGGGATATGATGTTGGCACAAAATGCGCACTTGATGAACAGTTAGTCACTATCAATGTTCTAAGTTTTAAGTCAATTCTATTGGATTAAACATTTAATAAAGGGCGATTGAAAATAGGTGAAATTTTCCTATTTTTTACTTTATTAGTATTTTATTGATCAATTATCATGTAAAGCCGAAAAGAAATTTCACAAAAAATTAATTTTGCGTCGCTTAACACAATAGTCCCAGTTTCTGACGTACTATTCGAAACTCCAATAAAATGTTGTGGTTACCATTTGAAATTCTCAAGTTGGCCCCTGCCTAGCCTACAAGGTCGAAGTAGGTGTGGTTTTTTTGACACGAAGAAACTTCCCCCTCCCAGATATTAACTTCTTATTTGAAACGTTTTTTCCTCGGATCACTCGTTTCGAAATATTTAAGCGTTTCAAGATAAAAAAAAAACACCCTGTATAATAAACAATTCCGATGGGGTTCTGATGTTGCCACAAACTGCGCACTTGATGAACAGTTGTCACTATCGATGTTCTAACTTCTAGATTTTAAGTCACTTGAATTGGATTGAACATTTAATTCAGGGCGATTGAAAATAGGCAAAATTTTTCTATTTTTACTTTATTAGTATTTTATTTAGATATTAATTATCACCTAATCCAGAAAAGAAATTCCACAAAAAAATAATTTTCCGTCGCTTAACACAATACATAATAAACAATTTTCGCAATCTCAATCAACTTTTCTTGTATATTTTGTAGACAAAACCTTCACAGAGCCTAAACGATCGATTGCGTTCAAAACCCAAATAACCTGTTAAATCCGTTATAAGTCTTTCGGTCTATTAATGTGGTTAACTCTTTTCAGATGCATGGGTACGACCTGCCTCCTCCGTCCATGGGCGGGCCGCCACCAGGAGGCGTAGGAGGCACAGGCGGACCGCACCCAGGCTCCCTACTAGGGGCTGGAGGCCCTCCTCCTCCTCCTGACTCCATGACTCATCCCGACAGTACGGACGGCTACGTTACCTACCTCGAAAGCGACGATAGCTTGCCTGCAAGCCCCTAACAGGGCGGCTAGCGGACGCCCTTTGAAATTAAGCCCCTACTAGAAGAGTTTGCCGCGCCGCACACCAACACCATGCTTCCCGAAGACTTGTCCGTTAAGCATGAGGAGGAGACGGTGGAACGCGTCCCATTTCTGACTCCTTTCGGGCCACGTCCACGCAATTCCAAATATGCGAAACAGAAAAAAGTGGCGCCACGTGGCCTGCAGGGGTCTTCGGAGGCACCGTGGGGTGTTGAATCTCAAGCCGCTCTGTTGAGGGCTTGCTGGAGCAACTTGATGGGGATGAATTTCGGGGCGAACATTTAGAGTTAGATTATTAGGCGAAATTTGTGATCGATTTTTCTTTTTTTGTAATTTTCTTTTTATCACGTTTTTTTTTTGTATCAGTAGTGGCGTAGTCACGGGACATAACTGCAATAAAGATTTTCGATTGGTTCAGTTGAAAATTTTCCAGCGCCTTTAATGGCTGTATTCGCAAATGACTCACAAAATGAGGCTTAATTAAAGAACTTAACTTTCAGCTACAAAATGTTGATGTTTTACAGAAAAACTTCTCTATACTAACAGTAAATAATTTTCTGCTGTGCAACTATTTTTTTATTTCTTCCAGAGGCAGTTTGTGCAGTCTTAGCTCTGATCAATTTAAGGGGAAAAGTGATTTTTTGTTCTACATAGAAATTAGAATTGAATCATCCTTGTTTCTCGCTGAGCTAATCCGGACTCTTCAGTTTTTTAAGTTCTTCTGTTCTGGTCTCAAAATGCAGTCAATAATGGATAAACTCTATGCAAAGTCAATTGAGAAAAGAGTTCCGACTACGCCGCCCCAATGAAGCCAATTTTAAATTTGAAAACACTTTTCGTCTTTCTGGTTTGCAAAAAAGTGTTTACGCATATTTCGTATTTTCATTTAATCATCGAGCAGCATTTGAATGTAAAATGGAATGCTGATTCCACATCCAGAAAGACTCAAAAAATTATATGTAAGTAATATAAAAGTATTTTTGTCCAGTACAGTCAGCAAATGCATAGAGCATTATAATGATTTAATTTTATATTAATTTTATATACTTACATTTGGTGTACATTCACAAATGATTTATGGGTTTGTCATCGCATAAAGCAATGGCACGCGTAAGTCGATTTTTTCATATCTCAAGTCTTCTTTAAAATCTTCCAATTTGGATAGCTGGTTATTAACAATTAATCACTCAAACAATCATGTAATTACACAAAATGTAATTAATAGTAATTTAATATTTATTTTTTTTTAAATAGTAAGAACTACAACAGATTTAGTGTGTTCCAAAGAGTTTGTAACATATGGAAATATGTTATTATTGATTTTAAAAAAATTATAAGTGCAGATAGTTGGGAGCTTTTTCTAAAAATCTTCTGGTTTTCAGCACAGTAACTTAAAGTTAACTTGGGTATATTTTAGCTTTTAGCTTTTCTTTAATAGTTGAACACAATCTTCTGTTGGTGCCATTGCCTTAGGGAACATTCCCTAGTGCTAGTAGGTAGCAAAATATGTTAAAAAAGTAATAATTTATTGGTCAAAGATTTGCATTTTTAGCAACTGCCTTTTTCGTTTCCTTGCGCTTTAATTCTCTTTGAAATTTGTCACTCGCAGTTAAAAGTGTTTCATTAATAATTATTAGATGTTATTCACCTAAAAGAAACTGATTTTAATGACCGTATGCTATAATATGTACTGCTGGCTGTATTATTAAATATCGAAATTAATAAGTGCAATTAAAATGCGTTATTTTTCAAGAATATCTTTAACTTGGTTAGAAAATAAAGCGCACTGTTTGTAAGCATCCAAACAAGTTTGTAACATTTGTATTCAAACTATGTAAATAAAACGTTGTTGATCTTGAAATTTACCGATTAAGTTATTGTAAGATTGTGAAATAATCTGCACGCAAATTTCATTTCGTAACATCAAAGAACAGTACATTTTTATATAAGAAAATCACATTTTTGTTCAATCAGTGGATGTGTCCACACAGGGACCATTTCAGAACAAGCAAAGCTGTTATTATGTGTTTTCTCAAAAATCTGCGCCGACCAATATGATTCTTTAATTGCTTATTGAAAGTTGAAAGACGCATAAATGCAGATTTTTCCCAGTAAAAGTATTAAGTGATTCGCTCTATACATTGTACATGCAATATTATTGAGATTGAAATTAAATTATAAATAACAGAATTATTCTTAACAATTAAGAGTATGACATTTAGTGTAAATAGAAATGTACATATATATTACATTATGACATAAAAAACTGGTGTTTTATTTTTTGAGGAGTGCGCTCAAAATGTACAAATTTCGAATTGCACTTTTCAAATTTTGCTTAGAATTTGAAAAAAAACTGTTGCGAGAAACATTTTGCATAGCGTTTCTCGAAAGCAATTTCGGAAATGAAAAAAACTCTACAAGTTCAGAGTTGAGCGTTCAGTGAAGAGTGCGCTCTAAATCTAAAATAAAATCTAAATGTGGTCAAAATTTCTTCAAACCTTCAAAAATTCATTGAAATCACATGAAATCATGAATTTTGCTCGCTTCGTAAATGCAGACTCTTCAATAAAAAATTACAACTCCCAAAGTGAAGACAGTAAAAACTTGAAAGATCGACATTCTGTAGAACACATTTTTAAATTAAATTTTGGCGTAATCTTGCACCTCAATGTCTGATATTCAAATTTCGTATGACCTTTTGTGACAAATCGACCAGAATATACTCACGCCTGTTGGTACAACTAACTCGAATTACCAATTCTCTATCCAATGCTATAAAATCGAACTGTGTGGCCCAAACGGTTATTAAGCAGCGTAAAAAAGGCGTCGTCATGTTTCAGTCGATTTCGCAATAAAAAAAATCAGGCAAAACTAAATCTCTTGACCTTTCTTGATAAAAAAAAACATAAAACTGGAGCGCATATTTGCATGTTTGAAACGATTCTTTGGAGACAAGCTTCAGATGAGCTTGATGTCTAAATACAAAGCAGCCCAAAATATTCCCAAAATGTAAAAAGTAACACGAAAGAACCAATAAATCGATACCAAATTCACATTACGAGTCAGTTCTCCATGTACATAGCAATCAGGGGCAAAGTAATGCCAAACTTACCGAAAGCTGCGTAGTGCACCTGGAAATAAAGAAGAAAATATGTTTAGTTTCTATCAAAAGCCAAGATTTGTTGAAACCAGCAAAGCAAAGAGAGATACAAATAAAGAATCAATAAAACTTCAGTTGCTTGTCGGAAAACTAAACTCAGTTGAAGCTAGAAGAATTATAGATTATAGATTTCTCTTACCAGCTTTCTGCAATCTGGGGCCCCATCCTGCATTTTCTACCCTATTTAATCCTCACTGCGCTTTCAAAAACTACAGCACTTGCCATAAGGTTCACAATGATTCTATATTTCCCATCTAAGAACGCGATTCACACGACACAAAGGATCGTCAACCCATTTCGTCCGCTGTCGGTAGAAAACTGAACATTCAACCACAAAAAAGGCACCGAACTACAGAATAAATATGATTATTCAATCATTTAATTGTTCCGCCCTTTCGATGATTCATGCTTTACTTGGCAGTTCGATTTCAGTTTGTTTACTGTTGGCATTTTTGTGGTGCCTGTTCGCATTGCAATATTTCCAAACGCAAATTTCACGTTCCAACTTAACGAAAAACGCTCCAAGCACCGATCTTTCCTAATTTAATTTAAAATTTAGAGCCATTTATGTCTGAATTTCACTCAGCTGCAGTGATTAATGCACAACTCCAAAACAAAAACTAATAACCGAATTATCTTTGTTTCTCTAAAACTATTGACTAAACAAAAAAAAACACAAAGAAATCACTTTCACACGAAATTTAAACTAATTAAAAATGTCCTTTAAAAGTTCTGAATTGAAGAATTATTCCACCACAAGCGCAATTCGCTTTGCAGCGCAGTAAGGCACGATCTTCAATGCTTTAACAATTTACTGGACTCAGATACCCAGAAAAATGTGAAATTTCAAACTCAATTCACCCTTTCGTTCAAAATGAACCGAGATTTTCACACATTTTAACTTTCAAAGAATAGAAGAAATGTAAGATTTTTACATTTTCTCTACACCTACTCCGATTGAACGTTTTGTTAAGTATTTTGCATAAAAATGTACGTACCTTTTGAAAAATTTTCCTCACGTCATCTGTTTCGCTACTCTATGCATTTTCCAAGAAAATTTACACAGTCGACGTTTGGTCTGATTAATTGCAATACTTTCCCGAATATTTTTTTCTAAATTTTAATTTGCATATATGAAGAAGTTTCTAATTCCGGCAATTTTACGTTAAAGTTGGAAAACGCTTGGACACAAAATACGCTTCGAAGAGGGATGGATGATTTAAATTCCAAAAAATATGTAAAATCTTAAAGTGTTCGAAATTTGCGGATGAGAAAAGCGGATCAAAAATATAAATTCAACACTGTCTTCCCGAAAGAATTCGACTTACAATTTTGAACCACCTCCAATCTAAAACAAGTTGCATTTTAAATATAATACAACACTTACTTTCAATGTAACAGTTACTTTTATAAACACAATTTTTCACTAGCTACCAAATATACTCCATATTCGCCATTTTATCCAGAAATATTTGTATGCAACATTTTTGAAATCCCTACTTCTAGAAAACCAATACATACGAGACGGAACTTAAATGTTAACTAAAATCATTCAATGACGAACGGCAAAATAGTTGTATTGCTCAAAGACAAAGCAAAAATAAGTCGAAATGCGTTTAATTCCAATAAACAAAAACTGTTCATAAAAGAAGTAACAGCTTTTTCGCAAAAGATACCACATGGATCTGAATATAATGCAGAAAAATGTTCAAAGCATGCACATTTTTAGAACAGCCGGTATTAGTACTGTGGAATAAATGACCATTTTTCAATTTGATTCAAAGTTTTGAAATGAAAAGATTATACAATTTATTAACAAAAACTACACCTGTCAATTTAGAACGTATTGGTTTATTAAAACGTTACAGAATAAATACTACAACAATATTTTAAACTTTATTTTTCTCATATAGAAAACGAAAGCAAATATAATTGTATTACAACTTATGGGTCTACTTAATCTATTTTCAATCAATTTTTCAGACGATAAATCGTGACCAATAGTACCGACCTTCATCTTTGCCAAACTCACATAGATTTCAATGTGAGTTCGCATATATGACGTAAGTTAGCGCATTTAAAAAATTAGCCGATCTTTAATTTATCATAAAATACGAATTTCGACAGACATTTTCAGTCTTCATCTTTGATACAAGTTTCAACGATTTCTCTTAGGTTTGGGTTTTCCATGGCTGCAGCTATTCGCTCTTTGTCATTAATCTGTTTGTTAACTAGAAACGATTAATAAATATTCTAACTATCGCCGGCAAGTAAATGCGTTTTATATTTTTATTCTTCTCAAATATTCAGGGAATGTAAGGATAAGGAAGAAGTTATTCAGGATACAAGTATTAGAAATACAATCAAAAGATAAGAAATGTTGCCTATGATGAATAACTAGCTGATTTTACACTCATTAGAAGTAATTTAAAATATTCATTATGTACGGTTTTTAATTAAGTATTTGAATCTTCCTAAATGTAGCTAATTAACTAACTCTGCAAATGTTTCTTTACGCATTCTAACGCAATTCTGATACTTACTCTCATGCTCTGTTGTGTGGGCGCCCTCCTTGATAAAAATATTCAGTTTTATAGGAAAAGGCATATCTCTTTGCAGCTTCACCCTTATGCACAGTCCAATTAAAGTTGCCAGCGAGCAATGGGGTACTGTGGGGTTAAATTCCACTCGGATTACATTAACGCCGCCTCCAGTCGGTGCTTTTATCTGTAAATATAATATTATACTTAAGTTTAAATATTAGTAGTTACAAGAACTTACAAAAATTCCGTCTTCGTATATAACGCCAAGTTCTTCTAAAGTGTTGGGCTTTTCTGGGTCCTTAATATTCCTTAACAAATCTAGAACAAGATTTTACATCAATAAAATTGTTTTCGTTGCTTAAGTAAACCGATATGGAAAAAAGTATAAAAAACAGATATAAAAATGTTATTTACCATAAATCATGTCTTTGATTTCTTCAGAGTCCTTAGGTGGATCCACATCTTTCAATTTCTGTTTACCATCGCCTAATTTTTTCCGGAAAAACGACAAAAACATATTAGAACAATCAATCAATTGGTTTTGGAATGTTTGAAAAATTCGAACATTTGCTGATATATTTTTGATAAAAAAACAGCTGATGTTTTGATCAGTTGACAAACACTGACATGCAGTTAACCTAACCTTCATCCTGTTCTTGATTCCCCGAACCAAACATGTTTAAAAATTGTGTTTTTTCACTAATTTTCTGCAAAAGATGTAGTAGCCCTGTTGTTTGCCGCACATTCTACACAAACACACATAAATTTAATCTAAAACAACATTGATAAAGACCACTTATCTGTATCGACCCTTTAAAAACAAACAGGCCTCGCTGTTACCACTCTGGCAACTGCAATCTCTAGTTAATTTTTATGTATTATATAACCGAAGCATTGAAAAACAACGATAACAAAATCATAATTTACAGCCAAGTTCGAATGATAGTATTTTTTTGCCAAAAAAGTTATTTATAAAACACTGATAATTTGGATAAATGGCAACGTGGCGGACATACATCTAAAATAAAAATAAACAAAAAAAGTATTCTCAAAAAAATTTCTCTAAATTCAACAGAGACTCTAATTGAAGTGAAGCTGTAGGTCCTAATAGAGCATGCTCTATCCAGCGGTGTAATCATAATCATTCCAGCACTAGTTTTAATAATAAAAAATATATTGAAAGGTAGGGTGCAAATTTCTAAAGTGTAGTCACCGCCACCATTTTATGTAGTCAAAAGAAATATGCCCTTTTTCACTAATAAAACTAATAATTCCTTACAAATGTTTGTTTGCTTTTTTGAAATAAATAATAATTTAAAAACCTTGCACTGTTTACTATTTGCTTTCCAAATAAATATCATTTTCAGAATTTGGAAACACTTGGCAACCCTATTACTTATGTTGACAGTATCCCATCATTTATCTGTCTTTGCAGTTGACGTCTGTCACCTTTTGTTAAACACTTCAATGGTGACTTTTTACGTTGTTTATTGAAATCTGACTCATAGTTATTAATTACGCCAGTTGGTTTTGATTGAAAAAATGTCGTTCTTCGGGAAATTATTCGGGGGCAAGAAGGAGGAAGCGCCCTCGACCAGCGACGCCATCCAGAAACTAAGAGAAACCCAAGATCTGCTGGCGAAAAAACAGGAATACCTAGAAAAGCAGATAGACGACTGTATTTTAACTGCTAGGAAAAATGCCTCAAAAAACAAAAGACGTAAGTCCACAGTACAAAAGCTCCTCAAAATCCCCACGAAAATATGTAAGAATTATCGGATGATAATAATTATTAGTCACCTGCAATCAAATACTATTCAACTCCATTTTAAACTAATTTTTTGTGCAGTTGCTTTGCAAGCCCTGAAGAAGAAGAAGCGACTGGAAAAGACCCTGCAGCAGGTGGATGGGACTTTGACAACCCTCGAATTACAAAAAGATGCGTTGGAAGGCGCAAACACCAATGCTGCAGTTCTGATTTCGATGAAAGATGCAGCTGCTGCCCTCAAAAATGCCCATAAGAATCTGTAAGTAAACTTTCACGTTTTCGTTTTCAGTGGTAACTCAGTTTTAATCTATTGCCACAATTTTAAATGAATTTTAACAAGAAATCCTGGTCACTGGTAGAACGGAGTCATAATTTAACATTACGCTTTATTGTGCATGTTAAGCACTTGAGTGAAGTTTGAAAAAAGTTCGAAAAAGTTATGAATTGGGAACGCAGCACTTATCTTATACATAGTAACTAAATATGCTACTTTGAACTTCTATAAAAGGAAATCTAGTTCAATCGTGGAATGTAGAAAATACTGGTGCCCAAGTTTAATTACGGTGTTCGCATCAAATGCGTACATACCCCTGAAGATGGTAGCCATGAGGGCTATCGAAATATCAGTACCAAATTCCTATCTGCGGCGATCTAATCAGGATTAATATTTCAGTCTGCAGTATTTTAAAACAAAAAGGGCGGAAGCAAACGAAACAATATTCTTTCACAATTGGAAATTTGATTCCCAAGATAAATTTCCTTTTCTAATTGTTACTGATGAAATAAATTCACATCCTCACTTTCTCAAGACAATTTTGGTATACTGATGAATTTTGTATAGTGATTTTTTTAATTTAGGGATATCGACAATGTCCATGATATAATGGACGACATAGCTGAGCAACATGATATAGCCAACGAAATATCGAATGCAATCAGCAGCCCTGTAGGCTTTGGGGAAGACATAGATGAAGATGAACTGAACAAGGAATTAGAAGAGTTAGAAGAGGAGGAATTAGAAAAAGTAAGAAGCATTTCTATTTTTTGTGCAGTTGTTTTTGCCACTTTGTATGTACGAGTAATAATTTTACCGTTTTTAGGGTCTTATTGATGTGCCTGGACCTACGAAATTACCAGATCTTCCCGACGTCGAAGAAGTGGAGAAGGAAAAAGTCAAAAAGCCAGCAAGTAAGTTTACCTTTTCATGATTTCATATTCAGTTTGATTTCAGAAATTAATAACTAAATACGTTTTAAATATTTCTGCTTTACCTCAACAAATTAGCAATAATATTCTAGTGGGATTAGTTCATTGTCTATCTTCATTTTGTCAACTCCATCTGAGTTATTGACTAAAAAACGCTCAATATATTTATTTTTTCAGAAAAAGTCGAAGATCATGACGACTTGAAAGAATTGGAAAACTGGGCCTTATAAATAAATACCCGTTACGAAATGTTAATAAACCGCAAACTTAGGAGAAGGTAGACGCTGCAGTGTTCTAATTTTAATTTTGTAGCCTTCATTATTGGAACCTCTAAATCCTTTTTTAATTAACGCTATCTTGGAAAGAATTAGCTTGATAAAGGATTTAACAGCGTCTTTAGCACATTTTCAACGATCTAAGCATTTTAGTAAAACTATCCGATATTTGTTACATTAATCAACTTAGTTATGTATATAAAAATTATTTTGAAGAAAACAACACAGTTTTTTTATGATAGATATTTCACTAAGAATATGAACATTATAAGGTTAAATTCAAATCTATTTGTATTAAGATGCAAAAAGGATGTATTTCTTTAAGATTGATATCTGAACAACTGAAGGGAACTGTTATTTCTTTAAAGTAAGTTCTCAACAATTCTAATATTAGAAAACAGGATAGTGCTTTTTCTGATGCACATTATTAATGAATTTTTTTCCATAAACGAAAACTCTGGAAATTACATAATCAAATATTCAGAACTACATTATAAATGAAGTGTGACATAATTAGTGAAATAATAAAATACATTTTATAACAACTGGAATTACTTGCTGGAAAATACGAACTTTTTCTTGAACTGTTGTGGAATGTGTGTGTGGAATTTTTCCAATTACTCAAGAGAAAATCAAACAAAAATTGGAAATTCAAAAGTGTAATAACAACCAACACGAAAAGTGCTCTTTGCAAATACCTTCTGTAAGTACTAGCATCAAATGGAAGGAAGTTAAGGTCCCTCTTCAATAAGCATCATAAAGAGGTAGTTTAATGCGTGCGCTCAGGAAATTTCAACACTAGTCAGCCCTCAAAGGCTTATAATTAAGCAATTAAAGATAAGGACCCAAAAAGCAAAGTTTACTTAGTGTAAAACCAAAAAATGTGTTACAAATAACATGAATAATTTCAGCTAATCAAGCCGAAAGTCCGTTTTCTGGACTTTCGCAGGTGATCAACAATTACACAGTTTTTTTTACAAAGGAAAGGACTGAGGAAACAAACTGAGAATAAAAAACCTGAATATAGAAAGTAAAAACTGATCACAGTGAAAAAGTTTAATTACAGTTATGTAGCTGATTTATGTAGCTTTAAAACCAACCTTTATAGATTTCGTTCTTTCCTCAAAAATTCGTCAAACTTGTTCAAAACGTCCTCCATATCCTGGTACCCGGAAATTTCGCAGGCCTCCTTCAACGGGAGCCATTTGAAGTCTTGATGTTCATTAGACAGTTTCACTTTTGCATCTGGATTGATCAGCTCCGCCAACCAGTAGTGGACGACTTTGGGTTTGCCTTTCACCTTGTAATTCAGTGTTGTTTTGGTTTCTTCAAAGACCTTAATATCGGCTTTTTTCAGCCCAGACTCTTCCTGGGTTTCACGGTAGGCTGTCATCAAGTCAGTCTCCCCAGGATCAACGTGTCCTACAACAGTAAAAGTCCTTTAATATGATTTGTGCTTGGAAATCGCCTGAATTGAAAGTACCTTTGGGAGGAGTCCAGTGATGGATACCGTATGATGTTTGCAGTAAAAGATATTCGATTTTGGATGAAGCGTATCGGAAAATCACAAAACCAGCTGCCACTTTGGGAGCCATAGCAATGAAGTCTTTTAAGAGGAAAATTAATCTACTGTTGTCTTAATTTTTAAAAAGGTTAGGATGCTAAAAACACGGACAACACCACGTTGCCGTTTCTTCGCAATGTTATTGACTTGATTTGATACTGTGTGACCCTACACTAGTCTACACATTACCAAATCCTGCATGTAAAGCCTTTGCTTCAGCTAAAGATATTGGCTTAAGGGCAAAACCTTCTAGACGAGGTTCATGTTCCAAATCTCGAAGTTTATGCACCTTGTCCTTGATTTCCTCATGCAAGCTCTTTAGACGTTCTTCAGCTGCAGCTAAATCTGAAAAATGTTATCGCACAGCTTCAAACTTCTCCAACTGTGTACGAATTTCAGTGAGAACTTACCGTTTCGTAGTATAGCCTTACATTCCTCAGTGGGTCGCTCAATGCGGACTGACCCTAATTGCATCCAGGTATTTCGTTCGTATACTTGTTCCAGAGCTCTTAGGGCTTCTCTGTTCTTGTTTTGAGAATTGGCTAATTTCATCTTTTCCTCTCTCAACGTTAAAATGTCTTGGCTTACTCTTTCAACCTCTTGCAAGTATGTAAACGTCTTTTGCTGGGCACTATCCAGTTTATCCATTACTTCGTTATACGTTCAAATATGAATAGTTGTTAACAACAGTAGATAAGTTCCTCACAACCGCCAAAGAAATTCTTGTTTATGGAGAAACTCAGGTTAGTGTTTTAGATCAGGGCTGGGTGTTTATTTTCATCCGTTTACGTGAGCACTCCCGGGAAAGTTTTGTATTGCCAATTGCCTAAAATCGATTTTAGGCAATTGGCAATACAAAAACAAATCATGAGCTGGGCTGAATATGGATCTGCCACTTAGCTATTTTTTTAAACTATGTATGGTAGTATTAAATCTTGAAACTGGATCGGCCATTTGAGTAGAGTTTATCCGACAATAGTTGCCACAGTACACTGCTTTACTATGTACAATAGGGATGTTCTGCTGCGATCACATCTTCAATGCAAATTTTTGACCCTTTTTTCAAACCGTTGGCAAAAATCAAACTTTAGTGCGATTGATTTGGAAATTTCAGCGCTCTCAACCACATGAGTCTTCTATAAGGTGTGAAAGTTTCAAGTTGCTAGCTGCTCTAAATAAGAAGTTATAAATTGTTAAAGGAAAGCGTGCAGTTAGGTAAAAGTGCGAATTTTCCGTCCCTCTTAATAGTGCAATCAAAGTCAAGCAGTCACAAAACATGGCCTATTTTGCGTATGGTTTAGTTTGATTTTGGTGGATCCGCTAAACATTGTGCAGGCTCTCACAATAGATTGAGCTAAAAAGGTTTTCATCTTTCCTGACACAATTGTCTTGTTGCAATAGCAAACGATTGATTGGAGAGCGAGTATTTAATTTAGCATTCAAAATTCAAAAGCGGCCCCTTATCCAAACCAGTCTGATCGAGGACTGGAAATTTCTAGAAAATCGTCAATAAGAAAAAACTTATTGTGAATGCCTTTGTATTTGTCTGATTTACACGAGATCCACGCCTAGAGCTGGATTCTTGGCTGCGGCCACTATGGAGATTTGGAGCAAAAAAGAAAAGTTGTACCCGTAAAAAGTAAATCTCTATCTATGAATATTAAAATTAGAAGATAATAAACCGGTTTGCTAAAATGTTCTCGATGATTACACGTATACTGACTACGTACCGATGTTCTTATTTATATGAGCATCTAATTTATTTAATGATAAATAGTAACATTTTATTTATCGTCAAGTGTAGTAACGGGTATAAATATATTCAACCGATTATTGATAACTTGCTTTATAACGAAGTCAAATATCCTCCAAAAACCATTATTAAATAGTGATTTTGTTTATCATAACTTAATTTTAGTTTTCTAATATGGAATATTTATAGTTTCAGTGTCAAAAATACCAATACATATGTATATCTACAAATGCTTTGCCTGTATTTTTTTTCATCCCATAACACAGTACACCAAACAGTAATTGGAATTTCTAACCAATTTTAACACGCAAGTGACTTGAAAGATACTGAAAGTTTCTAAAAATTCCCCCCCGTAGTCCTGATTTTTGCGAGCCTAGTAAACAACGCACTCAAAATAGATGTTTTCAGTTAACTGGGGCCTTAAAATATTCGCCCTTTTCAAAGAAAGAATGGGAAATTTTAACTCATTTTTAGCATACAGCTGACTCTAAATAATATACCTACTTAAGCTTCATAAAACTCTCCCAAACAAAAAAAAAATATGTAAATAAATCTTTCTCCCAAACCAACTAGAAATAAATATATATGGGTCTAAAAGTGAACATATTAAATCAACTGCACTGCACTGTCGTCAAAAAATTCGCACCTTCCAAGTTAATCCAAAAGTAGAAATTGAAAATGTGCGTCTTCTTTAGCAAACAGTTGACTCTAAAGATAGTAATAACTTTAGCAAATACTGGACTCAACGGTACTGAAAATTGTATAAAAATTCCCCGGAATCCCAAGTTTTGTCCGCTTAGTAAATAAAGGCCTGCGCCTATTCTTTTAAATCAAATTGCATTTGGAAAATTTGACCATCTATAGCAGACATTTGCCTCTAAACTTACTGAAAGTTTCATAAAAATCTTCCGAAATTCTGATTTTGCAAACTTGCAACAGAAAATATCGGTCTCAAAATGAGCGTTTTCAGTAAATTGCGCTGTTTTCCTAAAAAACGCATATTTATAAACTAATGCACGCATTAATTTGCTATTTTGACCAACTTTATCAAACATACTTGACTCCAAATATACTGAAAAGTTGATACAAATCCCGCAGAATCCTGTTTTTTTCTAGCTTAATAAATATCGTTCTCAAACTCGATGTATCAATTCTCATATAGATACTCAATTGGGCTCCATTCAAAATACATATCATTCGAACTAAAGTTCATAGACACTTGAACATTTTTTCGTTTTTAGAGGAGACTCGAATCTAAAGGTGGAGCTTATATGAGAGTTGGTCAGTTTTCACACAAAAAACCAAAATTTTACAATGACTGTTTGTTACGCGGTTTTGAAATAATTGCGAAATCGACCACTGGATAAAGGATTTAAACCCCTATTCAAAATAAAAAAGAAAATACTGGCAGTTTTCACATGACAAACAAGTGTGCAATGTTACATAAAATATACCAGATAAGGCTATAACTTCCATACTGAATAATCTGAAACTCTACTCATATCTGAGGAACAAAATGAGCTGGGGCGAATCATTTTTACCATGTTCTTAGTTTTCGCGCACAAACCAACATTTCAAGTAAACTATTAGCTTTACTCGAATAGTTATCAAATAGATTAATCCCAAGTTTATAAAAAAATTTCATATTTTTCCCTTGTTTAAAAAAAAAATAAAATTGGCAGGAATTAAGGTCGATTAGAAGCGTGGGCGGAAGTATTAATGTGTCGACCAAACAATGAAATAGCGATTAGAATTAATAAGCTTGTTTTACTGTGAAATTTACAACCCAATTGGATACCAGAGCTCACGCATTTATATTCCTACCTAGAATTTTTCAATAGAAACTTTTGAAGAAATATATTTTGCGACATGATAAATACCCATAAAATTACTAAGTGAAGTAATTATCAAGCAAAACTAATTTAAAAATGGTACGACTGAAAAATGGTACAAAAAAATGTATACCTAACATTGTTTTGAAACAAATGGAAAAACATTCATGGCGTGATTCCTTGTTGATACTAAAATGTTGTTTGGTATAAAAACAGTTAGATCACAAGTCACTCGGGCGATATCGCGTTGAAAATGTGACCAAAAATCCTTCTTATTTTTTAGTTAAAAAAATAAACTTTACTAATTGTTTTATTAATTTGCTCATTACCGCCTGACTAGCACGATCTTTTTGGATATCAACTAGATGTTTTTGTAATAACGGCTTCCAGACGAGCAATATTTCACGTTTTCACTTTTTATTCTGAAACAGTTTATTTTACAGGAAAATTGTAAAAGAGAAAATGTCCAAATGAACCAGGTTTTCTTAATTTTTCACCAGGTTGTAATGGCGGTTTTGAAAAAGTTTCCATAAAAAATAAAAGGGGTAGTTTATCTCACCCCTTTCCTATTATTTCCAAAAAGTCAAAAAATTAGCTATGGACTTTTTTGATAACGGACATATTTCTGTGAAAATTTACCACTTTTTCCACTCCTTTTCTTCTTTGCTGCGCAATATCGCCCTAACGTATCATATGCCACCCAAAATTTAACACCAAACTACCTTTCAGTTGCTACAAAGAAACATCACCTAATTTTTTTCATTTTCGTTTGGAAGCACCCTGTATAGTACACTATAGAACTTCGGTAATTAAAATTGCGATCCCATGTTAAACATCTGCCATTCGATTTAGAACGATAAAAGCAAGTGCGAGCTGTGAACAGAAAAATGAAATGATCTCAAACGGGATGCTCGGTCTCATAAATCAACCCTCAATATTCTGAAGGGATAACAAAAGATTTTTACCTGCTCAGTGTTTACGTGAGCATTAGTTTGAATCGCCCGCGCAAACCCTGACAGGTAACCGACCATTAGTTGTCGTTGGTGGTTGTGCGAGAGCGGCATTGCCGGATATCCTACAAGAATCAGAAGCTTTGTAAACTTATTTGGTGAATTGGCTAAGTATCACTTTGCAAACTCTCTGGAACTGGGATTGGAGTCCCAGTTACATATTCGCGAATTTCTGCTACGGAAATGTTAATAAGACTTGGTGGAAAAAGATACTTTTGATAAATTCCCAAATTGTTTGGTTAACATTTGTTAATAGTCCGCAAGTGACTTGGCAGTGGCGCTTTTGTCAGAAATGTCTAGTGCCCCAACATGGCTGCCAGCGATGATGAGCCTATGCAACATTTGTACGAAGTTTTTACAACATGCTTTAACAAAATAGCTAACAAAGCACCAGGTATGTAAAGTGCAACTTCCTATCTATTAGTGTAAAGTGAAAACCCCTGCCAAATTCGCCGTTTAAGTGCTATATTCGGCCGTAGTAGTGTCGGTGTAACAACAAGCGTGCGATCAAAAACATTTCTGAAAAAGCTGGTTTGGAAGGGTAATTGTACCCTGCTTGGCTCCGAGAAGCTCCAATTTGTGGATAATCTACAATTTCCCAGTGAAAACCCAATAGAAAGCCGTAAGCAAAGTATCACTCCATCTGAGATGAAACTGCCTTGTGTCACCTTATTTCCCAAAGATGACTTTATGTAGTACTGCTTATGAATTTAAATACTCACATTCGGTTTTTGCACCAAATCCCGTCCTGATTTCGGTGAAAATTCGCCGTTTTCCACTTTCAAATTGAGTGTAATGTTTGTAAATAACAGGCCAGTGGTTTGTAGGCAGGAATCTAATGTTATTGTTTATACAGTGTCAAAATATGGGAGATAAGAGACTTGCGGGATCATGGACCACAAATTGGGTTAAAGTTTTACTTTGCTATGGTTCCTTGAAAGTTTTGAGGTGAATGCACTTGCCTAAATCAGCAAAAAATCACTTGCTGAATACCCGATAATTACTTAGCTACTCTTAGGGCAAAATATTTAAAGGTTGAATTAAGGAATGAATGGGAATTGTGCACGTCCCAAGTGTTGTTGTAGGAAACCAAACTGAGGCTCTTTCTTTGTGCATACATTTGGTTTATTCAGGGAAAAAATATCTATTTGGAAGATGCCGGTTCTTCTATATTAAATTTAGTGCTATTTTTCGTCCAAGACTTAAAACGATTCAGGTGTTTAGCTTATAACTGCAAGCCAAAGGCTGCTCAATTCCACTGTTTGACTTTCTTTTCCTCCACAACTTCTCTAATTTTGATAGGTTTTCTACTTTTATTTCGTTTGGTGCTTGATTTGTCAGAGTTTGTCATGTTTGAGTTTTTAATTTCCATTCCAATTTTCGCTTGAGTGGCTTTATATCAGTCCATTCATTCTTTTGCATTATATTATCTACAGAACAAGCAAGTTTTTATTTATATTTACTAGTTACCTTACACTAACAACTATGTAGTATTTACTATGACCATTAACGTACTCTGCAATAATTGAAAAAGGTCTTCTACGTGATAAACCAATTTTGGCTGTGACTTACTCGCTTCACTTTATATTGTTTACATGTTGGTTCATTTCAATTCACTTAATAGCATCCTCCACAGGCAGGCTTTTAACTAAACTAACTTCACTCAGACCTTTACATTTCAATAGCACAATCTGTGACAAAAAGCTGTCCGATTTGTATTTCAAAGTGTGAAGATTTCACATTTGTATGTGTAGTTTGTAAAGGTGATATCAATGAAGTTTTCGAAAAGAGTTTTGTACATTTTACAGGGTTTTTCTAATTTAAGTTTGCATTTTAATTTATGCATTCAATGCATAACCATCCAAATCTGAATAAACACACAAACATTCGTTTCACAAATATAACTAACAAAAGTGGCACTGTTCTGCTTTGTCTTTTCTGCTTCAACGTCGCTATTAACAAGCAAATTGGTTTACTTTAGAAACAACGAACGTAAAGAGCCACTTTTGGAGATTAATTATTGATTTATCCGTGCAAAAAAATTATTATTGTTTTTCTTATCTTAGAAAGTTGTTCGCTAGGCAATAAGGAAATAGCAAACCCATTTTGTGAGAAAATATTTTTTGTCGTACTTTTTTAATCAGCGTTGAGACAGGTTAAGTGTGATGGTTTTACTTTACAACTATCGACCGTTCATATTTTTGGCAACAGATAAAATTGTCATTGTGATTCATGTTTTACAAGCAGCATTAATGTTATTCAATATGTATTTTCTGATTCATTTGCGATCACATTCCGTTCCAACTTTTACATAATTAAAACTACGTATTTTTGGTGATTCAAAAATTGCTGGCCATCAGGAATTTTATCGGAATATGTAATAAGCGCCAATTATTTCTTGCTACATCCAAACACACAGCCAACAATAAATTAATGTGATTTTGCTAAAAGATTGTGAGTTTATTTTTCGATCTCACTGCAACACAGAATTGTTGATTTTTTAAGATCACCCAGTAAATAAAAGAGCTAAGAAAAAAATGCAAAAACTACAATATAAAGTACTTACTTAATTTTGTACAAATAGGTACATCAGAATTTATATACTTCCAAGGTTAAGGCAAATTTAGCAGTGTTTATTTTGTGGAGAAGTTTGGTTTACTTTACATACAAAATATATTTGTTTGTTGGAGAATATATATGAGCCTTTAACAATGTTTCGAGACAGAGACCCAATTTTTTTCCCAATTTTGACTAAAATTGAATAATACCTACTTATTCGACTGATTAGCAAGATATGTTTAAAATTAATTAGGAGAAATTGACAAAATAAAAATACTCTGTGTATTCATTATGGCTCAATAAAACCTGAATTGTCTGTATTTGATAAAGATCTAGTTTTTTTCTCCTTCTGTTTGTTGTCGTAATAAGTATTCAACATTATATGATGTAATTATCATACATTATTCTGGGAGCATTGCTTAAATGGAACGAATTGAAGTTGATGCGCCTAATTAATATTTTATTCAATATTTCCAATTAATGTGTTTGATGACTATCGTTTAAATAGTGAAAAGTTGTCGTGTTGGAATTGAATAATTGTTGAATTTTAAATAATGTTTTATTCATATTTTTTTATTAAACCTAATTAAGCCAGTTAGGATTGACAAAAAATCTCGTTTGCCTTTCTCAAGTATTGGTGCTTGTGTGGTTTGTATTGAACGTTTTTATCTTAATCATAAGTACTTTGGAGAGGCAGAAATGGTTGAATTAGAATATACATTTTCTATTAGATGGTTTAAATGCACTCTTGCTCATATTGAAGGCTTATTTGTATGAATGCTGGTTTTCAAGACCCAAAGCGAATACTAAAAAGTACCATATTCTAACATACTTATTCTTAATTGGTAAAATATTTTTAGTTAATTATTTGAAACAATTTCTGCTGGTACAGCGTCTTTTTAATTTTCTCCCAAACACTCAATAAATTATGATGAGCTTTGCGTCATTTCCTTATATCTTAACTATTGATCGAAACTCCTTGCCTAATGCAGATTTATCATTTTTGAGTAGTGAATTTTGGTTCATTGGTTCCTAAAAACTTCAGTTTTATGGTAGATATCTTTATTTTAGATCTGATTCAGTCTTCTGTAAATAGTAAAATTTCCTTTTGTCTTGTTTGTTTTATGTTGTTTGCTCCTTTCTAGCCTTAAGAGATGATTCCAATTGATCCTTTGGGTTGACAGTGTTTAGGAGTGAAATAATCCAATATCATATCTCAGTTCCGTTATTGTTTGAAAGATGGGTCAACTTTATAATGCAATGAATGGAAAGTCGAAAACCAACGCATGCTGCCATTATTATTTTATTGTTGCTCCTGTGTTGTCGTTGTGACATGAATTGCACAGAAACTGATATTTTAAAGCACTTGTCATTGGTCAATATTTGTCAAATATTGGCTAAGTATTTGCATTTTCTTTTTGTAGTTACGTTTCGTAATGTTTCGGGACAATTGCTAAAAATTCGTTGAGTTGTGAGTCGTCTAATCATTTAAACTGGTTTTGGTGCATAAAACAGCTGTTTTTCGCTCCGCTTGCAAAATCAACGACAAACATTTGCAAAGAAAATCGGTTTTATTTGCCTTGGTAATCTGTTTAATGTGAATCTATGTTTCGCTGTGGGTCAAAGTAATTTAAAAAGAGGATCCGTCATATTTCGAGGACACGAAACCCAACGAGAGAGCTACCTAAACGCAGTTTCGGTAATCTTAATCACCAAAGCTCCAACGTAGTTGGCCAAGACAGGACAGATGTTTTTGGTTTAGGTTTCAGTCGTCCGAAACTGTACGTTGCGATGTTGCCAACGTTGTTTTCTTTATAAAAAAAATAAATACATAATATATGCTTGACAATAACTAGTAACAAACAACTCTTATCACGATTTCAAAGTAAATTTGACTATTTTGCACACACAGTATTGTTTCTTATTTCACCAATCAATTCTGCGCTCAATATTTTTTATTCAAATTGCAGGTATTGCAATTAATTGTTTGTATGTCACGTAATTTAATTAAAGTTATCTAACTTCACATCCGGCTTCCAATTAGTCTTTGTCAATTTTGTAATTATTTTTTTTGCCTGCTTTGGCCAGCCGTTTGATAATTTTCGTCGTCACATACTGCAAAACTAGTTCTAATTATCTTTTAAGTCCTTATATAGATTACTGGTTTTCTATGCAAAGGTTTTCATAAACATTGTACCTAAGTATGGGAAATTGCCTAATTTGCCTCATTGGGCTATCCGGAAGCGATCGCAGAGTTTATATGATTGAAATGGGGTTTTCGAGTTTCCGCTAGCGGAGCCCTAATGCCTTTTGGTGTGACACTTTTAAGTAGTGCCATGGACCGTAAACGCATTTACCGTAAAGCCGATGGAGAAGACACGTTTAGATAGCGTTCATTAGCAGACGTTTTGACCTCTCAAGCCGTGCCCTGTGACTGACGAGGCGCATCCAAAGATGACCCTTTCTTCGGTCCTAAAACTACTAATTGTTTAGACAAGTTATTTTGGTAGATTTGCCGACATAAACAGCAAGTTATGCTGGACTGCTTTTATAACCATTGCATCTCCCGGGGGATGCGTTTAAAATAAACGAAACGATCAAGCATATTTTAATTGAATCTATTGTCTCGCATTTAATAATTCCGGTAAAAGACAAGAGCTGAAACATGCACGTTCAAGTTCCTGCTGAAAATCTTTTATTCACGCATATACAGGGTGTTGGGACTTTTTCGCCTTTAAACAAGAATTGCACTTATTTTGGACCTTAACTAATTAGTAACTTAAAAACGCGTGGCCGGAGAGAATTCGATCCAGTTTTTTGCTCCATATTGACATGAGAGTAATCGAGATAATTCGAAACATTGGTGTACAGGGTATCACAGGTATGAGTTATTTCCATCGGAGGAAAAAGTACTATTTGCCAAAACGGCATCTGTTTTGGGACCTACATGCCGTTAAATGTTGAATTAGAAAATCTTTAGTGACTTACTTATTTTTTACTTCCAGAAAAACCAGTGTTTCAGTCATCCTATGCCGGAATCGATAACGGAATGGTAAGCATGTGATTAATAAATTTATACTTTTTTTATACATATATAAAAGGTGGAATGCAATTTGACGCCTAAATTATGCTTTATACATGGTGTCTGCAAAAAGGCTACACAATCCTACAACAGATTCCTTGGTAATATTTTAATAATTTATCTAATGCAAAAGTGGACGGTTTTCAGAATTCAGAAGAACTAGTCGTTGAACTATGTATTTGAAAGTGCAATTTTAACTAATAAATAGTGGACTTGTTAGATAAATATACTACTTAAGATGGCAACATATGGGAAACTTTTTTAATATAAATTTTACGGGAAAAATTATGCGTAATGAAACATTCTGCATGTTGTAGAGATCTGCAGTCTTAAATACAGTCATCAGATATTAATTTTTTTCAGTTGGGTAAGCGCAATATCAAAAATATGAATTTTGCTCAAGAGTTAAGTATCTTTATTATTGACACTTATGAAATTATGAAAGAATTATGAGTGAATTAAAGATTTTTTTTTTGCAACATTAATAATAAAAAAGTTGCCCATATGGTGCCAACGCAAGTCTAAACACACTGTATATTTTTTTATTTTTTTGTTTTATTAAATGTTCGAAGTGATCTCCGTTAATACCCTTAGAAAGACTAATGCGATGCTTAGAAATTAAAGCAGATCCTAATCAGCAGGTTTTTGTCGCTCTTTAAAGTAGTTACGGCATTTACTTGTCTGCACAGACGCTCTTCATTATTTTTGTAAATTCAATATCGCAAGGGTACTATCTTTTTGGAAAATTTTATTTAAAAAACAGTTGGTTTAATATTTTACCCTTTTTCACAAACTGTAAAGGAAGGTAAGCTATGTGCATGTTCGACATTGTTAAACATTTTAAGTTAATATGCTGACTACCTCTGACGTTGAACCTGCCTCTTCAGGGGCTGAAATGTCCAGAAATAAACTCGAAGTTCGTTTTAAACATGTTTTCATACGCTCCAAATAAGCCGCAGCAACCCTTTAAAAACCAATTGAGAATTTTTTCTATTAATCTGGAAGCATCCAGAAAAACCCATCTGATAACTTTTACGACATATTCTATACAGCATTTATTATTACACGTATAATACTCAATGTTTTTTTTATTTACAGGCTTACGGCTTAAGCCCAA